TAACCCTAAGTGAACCAACCCTAACCCTAACCCTAACCCTAACCCTAACCAAAAACCTAACCCTAACCCTAACCCTAACCCTAACCCTAACCCTAACCCTAACCCTAACCCTAACCCTAACCCTAACCCTAACCCTAACCCTAACCCTAACCCTAACCCTAACCCTGGGCCGGACCCTAACCCTAACCCTAACCCTAACCCTAACCCTAACCCTAACCCTAACGCGGACCCTAACCCTAACCCTAACCCTAACCCTAACCCTAACCCTAACCCTAACCCTAATCCTAACCCTAACCCTAACCCTAACCCTAACCCTAACCCTAACCCTAACCCTAACCCTAACCCTAACCCTAATTTTAACCTTAACCCTAACCCTAACCCTAACCCTAACCCTAACCCTAACCCTAACCCTAACCCTAACCCTAACCCTAACCCTAACCCTAACCCTAACCCTAACCCTAACCCTAACCCTAACCCTAACCCTAACCCTAACCCTAACCCTAACCCTAACCCTAACCCTAACCCTAACCCTAACCCTAACCCTAACCCTAACCCTAACCCTAACCCTAACCCTAACCCTAACCCTAACCCTAACCCTAACCCTAACCCTAACCCTAACCCTAGCTGATGCCTCATCAACCCTAGCCACACTCCATTCCTCCCCACCCACCACCACTCACTCCACTTACCACTCACTGCCCCCTTGCCACCCCTACCCATCCCACCCATGACCCATATCCACATTCCCACCCACCCCACCATACTCATTCTCCACCCACCATGCGAATGGCTGTGCACGGGCCTGAATTGAGTCTTTGATGGTGATTCACAATCCCCATCCCTCCATTGACACTTGCCCGTGTCACTTGTTCGGCCGAGTGGCATGTGCGGGTTGTTGAGTGACATGAATGTCATTCAACATTTTCATGATTCGCCACTCGTCACTCGTTCGATTGTTTGACATGCAATTGAATGTCATTGATCATTGTCAATTGATCATTCGATTCTTTCTCCTTCTTTTGTTGTTGGCTATCCATGTTCCTTGTTCTTTGCCGTTCATGTTTCCACATGCTTTGTTGTTGCTATTGTCTGCCTTCATGTTCTGCTTTGGTTGCTTTTGCCTGTGATGGTTGACTACAATCGACATGCATTCCCATTCATCATTCCTTTCGCTTTGTTGTTGCTTTGTATCATTGTTCGGCATGCTTCAGTTGTTCTTGATTCCCCTGTTTTCATCGACCTTGACTTCCACATCCATGATCGACCTTGCTCACTACACCATCGATTCTCAACTTTGTTGTTGTTGGCCATGGTCAATAGTTGTGCATGCAATGTATTTTGTGTTGACTTTGTTGTGTTCTGGTAGTGGTTGATCTGCAGATCTGATTGATCAACCGCCCCTGCCTCATTGACCTCAACGTCACCCGAGTTCATCCCATTGCCTGCCAGCTTTACCCAGTCCCTGTTGACTTTCTCATGTGTGTGCTGTGCAAGCCATGTATGAACTTTGGTTGTTGTTGTGGACGTCATTGCCTCGTTTGATGCTGGTTCCGGCTTTCTTCAATTAATTCAACGCTCAACTCAATTAACGTCCGCCGCCTTCCCTCTGCCGCCCAAGCCCCTCCACCCTCATCAACCACACCTCACACACACGTATCAGCCGTATCATACTCACCTTCATCAATGCTCAAGCCCAATCGCCATATCCACCACCGCTTCGCCCGTCCCGCCACCCATGTCACGACCCCCCTCATCCCCCCTACCATACTCATTACGCCCGATCACTCCCAACCACTACACTCACCCCCTACTCCACCACCATCACTATCATCCTAGCCACAACCACCACCCACAGGTCGTGCCCATACCCACCACCATCCCATCGCGCACTCGGCTTCCTCTTCCTCCTCATCCTCCTCGTCTTCCCGCTCTACGTCACCTCCATCCTCATCCCCGACCCCGACACCCACACTCCTCAACCATCACATGCCAGACTGCCCATCCATTAACCAACAGCGGTCTCAAGCCACCCAGCCTCGATCCAGCCCCCTCTGCTGCCCCTCCTCGCCGACCACCAGCCGCCAGCCGCCTCCCGCTCGCCCGATCAGGCCCACCTTCATCACTATCTAGCTCCTTCCCACTACCAGCTACGCTACCCACAACCTCACCCAATGTCATCACACACCCCACACTATCACCAGTACCAATATCGCTATCAGCGATACCCATCGACCTCGGCTCACTTGCGCGTCGACTTGTTCTGCCTAGGTGGTTGAGCACGTCCTCGACCGCCCGACCCTGCACACGCCCCCACCACACTCATTGCAAGATATGACCAATCTGATTTCACTACTACTCTACTACACGTCCACACTACCCCTTGCACAGTCTCCAATCCACAGCTGCTGTATTCCAGAATCCGAGTTTCGCCGGCTCAGGCCCAAGTTGTTGGCCCTGTTTCCCTTCGATGCTGCTCACCCCCTGCCGCGGGCCCATCTCCGACCCCCACTCCCCACCATCACCACCCACAACCACCATACCCACACCACACGTACTCACCACCCCTGCAAACATAGCCACCCACCCCCTGTTCGCCGTTACGCACATCAGTCGACGCCATCCCGTCAACAGCATCGCTGCCGACCGCCGGCTGCTCGCCGCCGACCGCCGCCCGCCGCCGACCGACCACCGCCGGCACCACCGAGAGCTAGCTAGCCATCGACAGAGCATTGGAGACGATGCAGAGAGATAGCCACATCATTGGCAATGCCTACCAGGGTGCCCTCCAACCCACTCCTCCCCTCCCTTCTCCGGCCTTGCCCATCACAGCCCCCGCCGGCCTGCTCATCGCCAGCCGCCCCTGCTGCCGATCACCGAGCCAGACGACGAAGCCACCGGGCTGGCCAAGACAAGGAATAACAAGAGAGGGCCAGTGCAATCGATAGGTATTGCAGTGGCCGGCTAAAGTGCAGTTGGCTGCTTCCCCGCAATCTCAAGCCATCGTCTCCATCGACGTCCATCAATCAAATCCCGTCGGCCCTCCTCGCCCATGCCGCCTAAGTACCTGCTTCCCTCATCTCCCACACCCACACACATCCATTATCCTCATCGCCTCTTCTATACTCATTACTCTCCATCCTCACGATATCTTTTGGACACGTTTTCTTTGGCCGCCGCAGCGAGATGAGGATGAGTAGCGAATGGGTGGATTGAGAGGAATGCCGATTGTAAAGATGGAGCTGCGGCTGGCTTAACGTGTCGAACGAGCTGGCGAACGTGCGCCTCTTTGGTTGAATGTAAGCAGCATAGCTCCCTGGTGAACTACTGACGAGTTCATCTATCACCGCCGCGAGTTGCGTCGCTGCCCAACGTGACTCTGGTTACGCGTCTTGGAGCCACGCAGTGAACTTCTCGAGCCATCGCCACCCATACCTGATCTGTTGCTCATGCGCGTGGATAGCACGGCAGAATGTGGCATGTCCGACAGGTCGACAGACGCCGAACACACCAGCGACTCTGACGGCGAGTCGTTGCTGGTGGCTGGCGACGGGCCCGACTTGCTTGACAAGTTTCTCGACTCCGATCGCGTGCTGGAGCCCCAGTCCGAGCCCGATCGCGAGCTCGAGCTCATCGAATCGTGGTCGACGCGCATGGTGGCGTCGACAGGTGCAAGTGCGATGCTGGTGTTGGGCGAGTCATAGTAGGAGTGTGGCAGAACCTCGCCGAGTTGTTCGCGTAGAGATCGTGATCTGACGTCCGGCAAATGCATGGCGAGGTGGCGGACAAGTGCCTCGTCATGAGCAGCGTTGATTGGGTGGGCCGCACTGACGCGGTGGCGGTCACGAATGCGCTCACCAATCTCGTGCACGCCAGCAGTGATGATGGAGCCTAGGGCGTAGGCCATGGTGGCGACCACAATGACGACGATTGCCACAAACGAGCCGCGTGAGTGGTCGTCAAGCACAAAGAGCATGCCGGAGCACACAAGGATGAGCACACACACGTCGAGCTTCATCTCCAGCGTATTATGCTTCGGCAGGTGGAACGGTTTGTACTTGAGCACAAACACAGCCGATGCGCCAAAGACAGCGATGAGGCCTCCAAAGAGCCACACCAGGATGTTTGAGAAGAACAGCGCTGTCGAGACAAACCCCAGCCGCTTGATCAGCTGCGCCACCTCGTACCAGTACCACTTGCGAAGGTAGATGTTGTAAATGGAGCCGAGTCTAAGCAATACATCCGGATCATCCAATCGATGCCGCCTCCGCCATAGCCGGACCGCAAAGAACACCGGCATAGCCGCCACATACACGACAAGGCCGACTAGCGCAAGCGGCAGAACTGACAACCACTCGTCGCCAAAACACTGGACCGATGTATCTGCATCGAGTACGTAGCTATTGTTCGGCAGCTGTGAGCAATCAAAGAAGACCAGCACCGAGCGCGAGAGCGGAATGTACACCAGTGGCCCAAATACGACCACCAGCCGCTCCATCACGGCCTGCAGTGGCACGTGTGTCATCGCGGCACGCGGAATGCAGCACGCCATGAGTCCGGGAACCATCTTGACAGCACACACAAGCATCACAAGCACCACCGCTAGAACCAGTGGCAGCGCAAGAGACATCATGTACCGCACGAGGAACGACTTGACGGTGCAATCAGTGGCAAACAGACTCAGCTGAACATTAGCCACGTTGGCTGCATCCAGAATTTGCTGCACGGGCGGCTCCGGCCAGTTGAGTGGCGCGCGCGCCAGAATGCCCAGCACCTGCAGGAAGACCAGGCCCACAGCTACGGCATGTGGCACTGTCTTCACCCGAGACATCTCGCTCGCGGAGTAGCCTGGCTTACTCAGTGTCGCTGCCGTCACGATGACAACCACAAACGCCACCACGCCCACGACGACCACCAGAATCAGGAGCAGAGCAAAGAGCGCCGTCGACGACTTTGGGCAAGCGTCGCACTTGCCGTCTGCCAGGCGGTACGCATTCTCGGCACACTAGGTGCAAAAGTACGATCCGACCTTGTAATGCCTTCCGCAGTTGAGCCCGCCGATGCATGCGCTCGGCACAATACAGGCGGAAAACTCTACGCCGGCCGAAGTGCCGTCATCTGGGTAGAAGCCGGGAGAGGCGACGGGCCACATCAGCGCACCGGCACATGTGCCACCAGGTGGGCATGCAATGCATGCCGTGTTGACTCGCCGTTCCGGTGTGTAAAAGCCCGGCGGGCAGACGCAAGGCGGGATGTCCAACGAGCCGTTGATAACCCGCAGCGTGTTGTCGGGGCAATCGACGCACTCGCCGTTGATGGCCAAGGCGCTCCCGCTGCACGTCACCTGTACCTTGCACGGATCGGTCGAGGTGTTGGGCGAGAACGTGCCCGTCAAGCACTCGGCGCATACTAGTGGCGTGCCATCGGCTGAGAACCGCCCGTAGCCTTCGCCGCATGCCGAGAGCGTCACCGTCAGATCTGCAATCTCTGTTGCGCTGTCGGCCAGTGCCTCCTTGAGCCGCAGCGAGTAGCTTAGTGGGACTCCAAGGTCCGCAATGCTCAATGGTGAGAGCGCAACAGAAGCTAGTGAGTATGCGCCGCCGACGTACTCTCCCTTGCGCTCCAACGCACGAGGATCTATCAGCGACGACGAAATGACGGTGTAGAGCAAGTTCGCATCGACCACAAGGGTGGAATACGCATCACGGAGCGTCACCTCGCCTTTCCCTAGACCCAAACCGGCAGTGGCCGTGGATGGAATCGAGGCCGGCATCGCCGATGCCGGCTGGGACGCTGCCACCTCGCCGTAGCCGGCAGTCACTGTTGCGGCCGCCCACAGAGCGGGAGGCGCTTGAAATTGCGGATCGTCCAAGCAGTGGTACACAATGCCACCACCAAAGGTGGCGGCAACGGTGCCTCGAATATCGGTCTCGTTGCCAAACTCCCATGACGGGCCACACGAAAAGGCCACGCCACCGTAAGCTGCCGTCGCGCCGTCGACTATAAAGTCGGCTGCTGCACCGAGGGCAGACACGGAAGAGCCGGCCCGCCGCAGCGCCATGGGCTCTAACGCGGAAGGGACGGCTGTACCCGCGACCGCAACAGCCCCTCCCCAGCGCGCCGAGCAATCGCGGAGAGTGATCGGCCCGCTCTGATCGAGCGTGAGCGAGAGTGAAGTGACAGCCATTGCCCCGCCCGCCCCGAGAAGCGCAGTACAGTGCTCGGCAACCACACCATCAAGCGCCAAGCTCACAGTCGAGCCATCGATGTACAACGCCCCGCCCGAGCCCGAACTTGCCGAGGCCGCCGTAAAAGCCGTGTCGCGGACAACAACCGCTAACACCGCCGACGCGTACACAGCACCACCGCCGATGCCATTCGCACCGGTCACTCGCGTCCGCTCAAACACGCATCCAGCCATCGTTACCGAAGACGCGCCGAACAAGGCCACAGCACCGCCGGCAAACGCAGCGTCAGTGTCGGTAAAGACTGTGTCAGTGAGCACGAGGCTACCACCGTTGACGACAATGCATCCACCTTGCCCGGCCTGCAATTGGAAGGTCGATGCGGCCGAAGTGTCGCAATGAGAAAAGCTCGAGTTGGTGACCACCAGAGCGGCCGACGACATCACACCGGCAGTCTCAGACGAAGCTGGCAAGCCGAAAGTGGTGCCGTGGACCGCAACGTTGACCAGATGGAGCGTGGCGGTGGCGGCAAAAACCACACCACCGCCACGTGCCGCACAATCAAACGCTGCGTTGGAGATGTGTGTGGCGGACGAGACAGGCACCGCCCGTCCGCCGCCCACAATCCCCAGCACGGTCTGCTCTCGCGCGCAACCGACAAACGGTCGGGCGAGCCCTGCTCCAACAACGTAGGTGTCCGTGCAGGAAGAGATGTGGCTGAGCGATGCGGCGAGACAGGCCAGAGTGTACGGCACGCCGCCGCACTCGGGCACTGTCAGCGTAGCACGCGAGCCGGGCACAGCTACAAGCGCCCCAAACTCGGGCGTTTGCAGGGCGACATGAACCGAGGTGTTGGTTACGGCGGCAATGTCCAGATAGCCGTCGTCTGAAAAGTCAGCAAGCACCAATGAGAGCGTTGCCGAGGTCGGGAGGGTATCGACAACATTGCGTACATCACTCGCGTCAAAAGACATGTCCAGCTCGTTGTTGAACCAAAAGCCGGCCGCGCCCAAGACGTCGACCCAGAACACGTCGGCGCGGCCATCATGCGTGACGTCGACGACACACAAGTCCACCAGCAGGGCGCCCGAAGGCGATCCGAGCGAGACTGCTGCCAGCCAGTACGACCCGGGGCCGCCGGGCGAGAGAGCGACGTACACCGAGCTTGCCTGCGCCCACACCAGATCGGGACCGGCATTCGGCCCTGGACCCATCGAGGCAAGCGCAAACGAAGTTGCACCGACGGCAGTCGCGCCGGCTGCGAGGCGCACTACAGGTGGTGCAAATGCCACGGCACTACCGGGCGTGGCGGCTGCGACGTAGATGTCGCCAGCTGCCACATCGAGCAACACCAGATCCCGCAGCCCATCGCCGGTAACGTCAGCAGTCCACACGACACAGCCAGGGACAAGCACAATACCTCCAGGAAGCGGCAGGACCACTGGAGAGTCAAACCAGGCCACAGCTGCATCGCTAGTCCACGGAATGCCCGGCACCACCACGGCAGCAGAAGCCGAGAACGCGAGGACATCGACGGTGCCATCGCCGTTCGCATCAAGCGTCTCGACCGATATCGCTGGGGTAGGAAGGCCGGTCGGTAGCGTCGTGGCGTCGTGGCTCCACGGTAGCGCCGTGCTCACACCGCCGCGCAAAACAAAGAGATCGTTCGAGCCCGAAGCAGCGAGAACAATGTCAATGGCGGCGTCGCCCGTCACATCCGCGGCAGCAAAGCTCGAGACCGTGCCGGCAGAGGAAGGCAACGAGAAGAGAAGGGCAGGCGGGGCAAGCGTCGAGGCGGAGGTCACTCCCGACAGCGCTACGTAAAGCGCATTACCAGCAGCAAAAACCAGATCGATGTGGCCAGAGTGATCCATGTCGAGGGCGCGTGCTGCTGACGACACGGTCCGAGTCGGTACCGAGCCCGAGAGAGCAGTGTAGAGCGGAAATGTCCCAAGCGGCTGGAGCTTGACTCGAGTCAGATCTCGTGTAGCGCTCGTGTAGAGAGCGACACGAGCCGTCGATGTGTCCCTGCTTGGGCCAATGTGAAACGTTGGTGCATCGGTGCCAGATGGCACAAGATAGTAGGCCGGCGCAAACTGGGGCAGGCCCGAACCGAGGCGCGACTGCAAGGCAACGTATGTCAACCTTCCTCCGGTTGAGTACGTCCCAACAACGACATCAGGTGTTCCATCCATGTTGGCGTCCATGAGCTCGATGCGCACGTTCTTGGCTTGGGCGAGACCGATGGTCATGTCCGATGACGGGCCGTAGTAAGGCGCAGCGCCAGAGTTGAGATAAATGGTTAACCACGCGTTGAGCTGGTCGCACACAATAACGTCCGCGTCACCGTCTGCATCCAGATCGCTAATGACGGCGTCGTTAGCATTCTGGTGGGGGATGGCAACGATGGATTGTGAATGGGCACTGACCTTGCCACCGGGCCCGGCAATGAGGACATGAAGCTCGTTCTGAGCGTACTTGATACCCACGGCGTCCATTGAGCCGTCTCCGTCGATGTCGTGCGGCACTACGTTTGTGTAGCCACCAGAGGTGTCAACATGATGATACGACCAAGCCGAGGGCAGATCAGGCCACGTGTTCTCCAGCCATCCCCAGCCCTTGTCATCGTAGTAAGAGATGAAGGCAATGTCGACATCTCCATCTCCATCATAGTCGTCGACGGTGATTCGCCACGTAACAGTACCCCCATGATTTGCAGCGGTGGTATAGGTGGTAAAGCCACCGCCACCGTCAGCTATCGAGACTCTCAGAGCCCTAGCGCCCGAGGAAAAGGTGACGGCATCAGTGTGACCATTGCTATCAAAGTCCCCCGCAGCCGCCGCGTTGCCAGCCATGTCAGTTGTCACATCAGGCCCACTTGTCGCTATGCCACTCGCCGACAAGAACTGAATGGCTGGCGAGGACTGCGAGACTACGTCCAACACACCATCTCCATTCATGTCACCAAAATCAGTGTATCGAGCACGAATGGCGCCGGCGCCGAGTGGGCTACCTGTTGCCATGGCAGGCAAGCTCGACTCGCCGCATTGCTGACCGCTGGCTGCCACCACCAACGCCGCCACCACCAAAGCACAGACTCGCCCAAGGTGTACTGCCATGAAGTATAAGAACCTTCGAGATGTGTGTGTATGTGGGGGGGGGAGGGGGAGCGGGGTATGACCTCGGTGGTTGGGTGTGGGCCGCTAGGTGGTGCGGAAGGGGTGGTGGTGGAGACGCCAAGATGGAGGGTGCGACTTCCGCCATACTTCTTTGGTGTGTCGTGTTTTTTGGGGGGTTTGTGGGCAGATCGAGGGGTCTAACGCAGACGAGTTGACGCATGGATTGGCGAGGAAACTGACAACACCGTTGTGGCCACTCCTCACAGCCACCCACACAGCAAGGAGAGAGAGAGATACCAATCTGACCCCCTAGAAACCACAAGTTGCGCGCTCAGCATAGTGGACGCGGGGAAAAAAAGGAAAAATGCCCTTCCCCCTAGCGTTCTCTTGCCCCGGCAAACTCCAGCCATTTCGTCCCTTCACACCCCTGTGCTCCAATCTGACAAAGGACCAGGCGGCGGGCAGAAGCACGACACAACGGTTGAAGTGACCCTGCTCATTTACTCCCAGCTCTCAGCGGCGGCCGGGCTGAGGCCTGTGTTCGCCGCGGCCGTCGCATCCATCGCGGCCTCTCGAGCCGACCGCAACCCCGAGTTTGATGTCGATGAGCAGCGGCGGCGCCAACCGCATGTCGCCGCACGTGCGTTTGGAGCGCAAGCCAAGTGCGCTCGCCTGCTTGTGCGCACGAACTCTAGCTTTTCGTCCTAGTCTGGCTCAACGCCGCGTTGAGCGCGTCGCGGATGTGGTTCGCTTTGGGCTTGCGGACCTTGGCCTTGCCCATCGTGAGCTTTGTCTCGAGTGCCACCTTTCGGAGAAAGAGGCAATAGTTGAGCGTGAGCAACAGATCAACTTTCTCGCCGTCCTTCACCTTGAGTCGCGGATTGTACCCCCGGACAACCTTGAGCACCGTCGACTTGGGCAGGGTCTTCATGCTGCGCACCGCTCGCCGTCCTCGCCGTGAGTCACCAGCCCGCACACCCGCCAACCGCGCCCCGCACACCCCGCACACCCCGCACACCCGCACAAACCACATAAACACATGCCACATAGCATCACTCCACACAGGCCTTCCCTCCCGCCGCCTTCCACGGCATCCTAGCCCCGCTACGTGCCCTTCTTCGTCCACCACAGCCGGCCTGTGTTTTGGCGCCACCACCAGCAAGCCACCAACCACAACAGACACACACACACACACACACACACACACACACACACACACACACACACACACAAACAAACACTCCCTCTCGAGGTGTAACACCACATACCCACCACCACTATTCCCAAGACAAGTTGTCTACCCTCTCCCCCCCCCCCCCTCCCCCCCCCCCCCCCTGCCACCACCACACACTCAACCCTGCCACCATGCCGTCCTCCGCCGCTGCAGTCTTCGGTTGTGCCCTCCTTGCATTTGCCCTCTGCTGCTCCGCACAGACATACCCGCTCCCCTACTGCTCCGTACGCCCTGCCATTCCCATACCCATACCCCCCACCTCCGCCTCCGCCTCCGCCTCCGCCTCCACCTCCGCGCACGTGCTCCCCATCCAGCCACTCACCACCACACATCCTCCCCCTCCTCCTCCTCCTCCTCGCTGCAGGCCAACTCATCGGTGGCCCCGAGCAACCCGTGGCTCAAGTCCACCTTTGACACCGATGAATACTCGCTTGCCCTCGTCCAGCGTACGCTACCTCCCTCCCCTCCCCCTTCCCTCTCCTCCCCCCCCCCCTTCGGCAACGGAACTCACCCCAGCCACCCACCCACCCGCCTGCCTAGTCATCTTCCGCCACGGCGATCGTGTGCCGGTTGTCGGCCTGCCTGGTGCCGGCAACGAGGCCGAATGGACGTGCCAGCTGAGCATGGTTGACAAGCCGGCGACTGGCTCGGCCGATGAGGGCTACCTCGACGAGCCGCGCCTGTTCCGGTTCACCCAGCTCGAGAACCGCGGCGTCCTGCCCGGCAACTGCTCGCTCGGCCAGCTGACCGAGAAGGGTCACGTCCAGCACAACATTATCGGCTCGCACTTCCGCGAGCTCTACCACGACACCTACGGCTTTATTCCGTCCGAGTACAACTCGCGCGACGTCTGGGTCCGTGCCATCAACATCCCGCGCTGCCGCCAGTCGGCCCAGTCCGAGATCCAGGGCATCTTCCCTAACGTCTACGAGCGCGGCCCGGTCTACGAGGCTGTTCCCATCCACACCATGGACCCCAACTACGAGAACATGTCGCCGAACTTTGCCGCCTGCCCCAACCTCCTCAAGCGCATCGCTGAGCAGCAGCAGTCGCAGGCCTGGGCCGACTTCCGCGCCGACACCAAGGGCCTCACTTCGCACATCCTCTCGCTCCTCCACCTCGAGTCCGAATCCGCCATCGGCTCGACCCAGTACCCGTTCTTCATCGGCGTTTTCGACGACTTTGCCTGCCGCAACTGCCACAAGCTCCCGCTCCCGCCGGCGTCTCGCAGTCGACCTTTGACCAGGTCGTCGATGCCGGCACCTGGACCGTCAACCACTGGCTCTTCAACGAGACGATGGCCTCCATCTCGGTCGGTACCTTCTTTGGCGAGCTCCTCACTGCCATGGAGGATGTCATGTCCGCCGGCTCTGCCTACGACGGCCCCATCCTCCGCCTCTACGGCGGCCAGGACCTCACCATCGGCCCGCTCCTCAACTGCCTTGGCGCCTACAACGGCGCATGGCCGCCCTACGCCGCCCACCTCTCCATGGAGCTCCTCGTCAACAACGCTGGCGACTACTTTGTCCACCTCCTCTACAACGGTGACGAGATCGTCGTCCCGGGCTGTTCCGCCATCTGCCCGTGGTCCAAGTTCATCTCGCTCGTCGGCCACAATGCCCTCACTCCGGCCCAGTACGCCACAATGTGTGGTGCTGCTGGTCCCCAGGGCCCTTGGTCGCCCATCAACGCCGCCATGTACATGTAGCGTCCCCCCCCCCCCCCCGTCGCCTGCGCGACATTCACTTGTTCGTGAAACGACAAACCCCACTCGCACCCGCCGGCTCCACCCACTCCCACGCCTACACACCGCTCTCTGCACAACCACAGAGTCCCGGACAACACCTCTCTCTACCTCTTACTCTCTCTCTCTTCAACACACTATGCCCCGCCGTCGCTCTGGTGGTTTCCGCCGGTACGTTCCTCGTGCTCCTGCTCTCCCTGCCCGACCTCTCCTCGAGTTGAGCGACCTGCCCGTCATGACGCGCACCACGACCAAGCCGGACTCACCCCCCTCCCCCCTCCCCTCCCCCCTCTCCCCTCTCGCACCTACAACCACAGCTCTGCCCCGCGTGCTGCCCCGCGCGCTGCCCCGCGCGCTGCCCCGCGCGCTGCTCCGCGCGCTGCCCCGCGCGCTGCTCCGTCGCGGGCCTCGTCGTCCACCGCTGCTCCGCCCAAGAGCTCGACGAGCTCAAGCTCGAGCTCCAGCAAGCCTGCCGCGGCGCCCGCGGCTGGCGCTGCCGCACCCGCGGCTGGTGGCGGCGGTTTTCTCTCCAACATGGCTGCTGCCGCCGGTGGCTCCATGCTCGGCTCGATGATCGGCCACTCGCTGTTTGGCGGCTCGAGTTCGAGTGGCGAGGCCGCCCCTGCTGGTGGCGAGGCTGGCGCCGCCGGCGCCGCTGCTGCCGACCCGTGCTTCGACTTTGCCCGCGCCTTTAACGAGTGCGTCTACGATCCGCAGAACCAGGGTGACATCGCCTACTGCCAGGGCGTCTTTGACAACCTGCTGCAGTGCCAGCGCGAGGCGACCGCCTCCGCCGCCCCGGCCCAGTAGCTGCCCCTTGTCGGCGTAAATCCTCCCCCCCTACCTTGCAACCTTGCGTCGCTCGTCACGGCACAAACCCCATTTCCGCGTCGAGGACCGCCACAAACGCCTCGGACGCCGGCGGCGGAAACGGCTGCAGCTCGGCTGATCCATCCGATAGCGCCGCCAGCGCCGCCGCCAGCGACTGCGGCTCCGGTTCGGCACGGATCACATACCCTGCTCCCGCCATCGCCGCTGCAAGCTCTTCCTGGTGGTTATTCATCAGCGAGCCGTTGGCCACAGCGACCATCGGCTTGCCCATCCGCAGGACTTCGGTCACCGTCCCTGCTCCCGCATGCCCGATCACCCATCCCGCGCCAGCCATGTCCTCCTGCAGGCTCGGCTTGTAGTTGTACACCTCGCAGCCAATCCCCAACCCATCACATCGTGCCGCAAGCTCGTCCATCGCCTCCCCGTACCCGCCGACCTGGACCACCACGCCGCTAGCACCTGCCGCAGCCGCTGCCTCGGCCACTGCCGCCGAGTTGACCGCCGCAATGAGCGCGTCAAACTTGGTCGTCCCCACCGTCACAAACACATGCCCCTTGCTTCTGCTTCTGCTTCTGCTCATGCCTCTTCCCGCCCTGGCCCGACTCTCGCTACCGTCACGGGTCGAGTGGCCGGCCACCGCCACAGCCTCTCCACTGTGTCTGACCTCACCATCTCTTCCAACCTGTGCTCAGGCATGCATTCACTCCAGTCTACTCGTAAAACGGATCGAGGTTGTACCCGGTGCACTCGGCGATGAGAAAGCCGTGCTCGGCGGTGGCGTTGGCGGTGAGGACATACGAGCCAAAGCCAGTTTGGACCATGCCCTTGCCCGGTGCCGTTGCGCCGCCGATGAGCCACTGGACCGTAGCGCGGAAGCCAGACGACTCAGTCACCATGATCGGCGACGCATACGCATACTGGAACGCCAGAAGCGAGGACCGATGCGAGACGCAGAATTGCTCGAGCGCTGCGCGGCCAATCGCCGGTGCAGGCGCATCGTACTTGATGCCATCGACCGTAAACAGCGCCGCCCAGCCCTTGCAGTCATCAGTGTTGAGTCGGTCGCGATACGCGAGCACCACGTCGTACACGCCCTGCGGCGCCGCTCCGCCTGCCATCGGACCAAAGCCGCCCGCCCCGACCACATGCTCGCCAGCCACCTGCATCTCCCCAGCCATCATCACCATCGCCACCGCTCCAACCATCGCCACCACACACGCCATCGTTGACATTCGCATACACTGCCTGCTACGTTCACCTGTGCCCATCACTCCGTCCATCACCCGCCATGAGTCCTGCCCTCCCGGCCAGCTCTCACAACTCCACCCGTTGCATGTGGCCCTGCCACCACAGTTACAGCCACCATGGCCATCATCCCCTTCCCCTCACCCTCCGACGACCTACCGCTGCGACAAGTGCCGGCCACTCCAACTGCGACTCGCCTGCGAACCACACACACACACACACCGGCCCAACCACCCCCACCACACACAACACACCACTCGAGGAGACATGAAGTTCTACCTCGATGGCCTCCTGGTGTACTTCCCCTACCCACGGGTGTATCCGGAACAGTACGCTTACATGCAGCACCTCAAGCGGGCCCTGGACGCCGGAGGCCATGCTGCGCTGGAGATGCCTTCCGGAACCGGCAAGACCATCACCCTGCTCGCTCTGGTCACCTCGTACCAGCTGGCACACCCAGAAGTAGGCAAGCTCATTTACTGCTCGCGGACGGTGCCCGAAATCGAAAAGGCGCTGGAGGAGCTGCGCAACCTGGTGGCGTACACCGAGGAGGACCGCGGCCTGGCGCCCAACTCGACCATCCTTGGCATCGGCCTCTCGTCGCGCCGCAACCTATGCATCCATCCTGCGCTGGAGAACGAGTCGAACGGGAAAGAGGTCGACGCCCGCTGCCACTCGATGACCGCGTCGTGGATCCGCGACGCCCGAGTGCCCGCCGCCGCCGCCCGCCGCCGCGCCCGCGCCACAGACCGCGCCCGCCGCCGCCGCGCAGGCGACGGCCAGCCCGACGACGAGCTCGACGACGCCGAGCTGGCCGGCCCGTCCGACGGTCTCACCGACATTGAGGATCTGGCAGTGACCACCCCCGAGGGCGCCGCCGCCGTAGGCCTCTGCTCGTACTACGAAGGTCTCGATGCTGCCGGCCGCGACGGCCTTCTCCCGCCGGGCGTGTATACCCTGGAGGACCTGCGCGAGTTTGGCCGCGCCAAGGGCTGGTGTCCGTACTTTCTGGCCCGGAACATGGTTCAGGACGCCAACGTTGTCATCTACTCGTACCAGTACATGCTCGACCCCAAGATTGCCGCCCTCATCTCGTCAGAGCTCTCCAAAGACTCGGTCGTGGTCTTTGACGAGGCTCACAACATCGACAATGTGTGCATCGAGGCGCTCTCCGTCCACATTGACCGCCCCGTCCTGGCCGCCGCCAAGCGCGCCGTCCGCGCACTCGAGCGCAACGTCGCCGAGATCAAGGCCTCCAATCTGGACAAGCTCCGCGCCGAGTACGAGGTCCTCGTCCAGGGCCTGCGGACAATGGCCCAGTCGCGGGCCTCCGACGCCATTCTTGCCAACCCCTCGCTCTCGGACGAGGTGCTCAACGAGGCCGTGCCGGGCAACATCCGCAAGGCCGAGCACTTTGTAGTCTTCCTCAAGCGCCTCGTCGAGTACCTCAAGTTCCGCATCAACACCCGCGAGGTCAAGGAGCTCAAGCCGGCCGCCTTTCTGGACGACGCAAAGTCGGTGGCCGCCCTCGATGCCAAACCGCTGCGGTTCACCGCCGAGCGCCTAGCCTCGCTCCTGCGGACGCTCGAGATCACCGACATCAAAGAGTACGCCGCGCTCAAGCTGGTCGCCGACTTTGGCACCCTCGTCGCCACCTACTCGCAGGGCTTCCTCGTCCTCATCGAGCCGTACGCCAACGTCGAGGGCGCACAGGTCTTTGATCCCGTCCTTATCTTCTCGTGCCTCGACGCCTCGGTCGCCATTCGCCCAGTCTTTGAGCGCTTCCGCACCGTCGTCATCACCTCGGGCACCCTCTCGCCGCTTGACATGTACCCCAAGATGCTCTCGTTTACCCCGGTCGCATCCGAGTCGTTCCCAATGTCGCTCACCCGAGAGTGCCTCTGCCCGCTCGTCGTCACCCGCGGCTCGGACCAGTGCGCCATCTCCACAAAGTACGACATGCGGAGCGACATGACCGTCATCCGCAACTTTGGCTCGCTCCTCGTAGAGCTCTCGGGCGTGGTTCCCGACGGCATCGTCGCCTTCTTCACCTCGTACTCGTACATGGAGTCCATCGTCGCCACCTGGCACAAGATCGGCATCCTCAACCTCATTCTCAAGAACAAGCTCATCTTCATCGAGACCCAGGACTTTGCCGAGACCGCTATCGCCCTCGACAACTACCGCAAGGCCTGTGACTCGGGCCGCGGCGCCGTCCTCCTCTCCGTCGCTCGCGGCAAGGTCTCCGAGGGCATTGACTTTTCTGACCACTACGGCCGCGCCGTCGTCCTCTTTGGCGTCCCCTTTGTCTACACCGAGTCGCGCATTCTCAAGGCCCGCCTCGCCTACCTCCAGGAGCAGTTCCAGATCCGCGACGCCGACTTTCTCACCTTTGACGCCATGCGCAATGCCGCCCAGTGCGTCGGCCGCGTCATCCGCGGCAAGACCGACTACGGTGTCATGATCTTTGCCGACAAGCGCTACAACCGCGCTGACAAGCGCGACAAGCTCCCGGCTTGGATTGCCCAGTACCTCACCGGCGCAAACCTCAATCTCTCGTCCGACATGGCCATCCAGGTTGCCAAGGACTTTCTCCTCAACATGGCTCAGCCCGTCGCCAAGGATCCCCAGGCCGAAGCCGCCACTCTCTGGGACGAGGCCTACGTCAACTCGCTCCCATCCGCCACCCCTCCTCCGGGCGCTGAGCCCATCGGCTGATCGAGCTTCTCACCCGCCAAGCCTGCCAGCATCACACATGATGATGATGACGACTGCAGTGCTGATGACTACCACAATGACAACTGCCAAGATTGCAGCCAATGATGGCAAGCATAGCCTCGTCGCAAAGCAGTACAAAACTATGCCCGCGCCTCCCTTCTCCTCCGCCCCCGCCCCCCCAAACGGCTCGCTGCCAAAACTCCTCCGCTACGCACCACTTCTCCCATTCACCACCATGCTCCGCCTTGCCACCACGCTCGGGCGCGTCACCGCCACTTCGTCGGCGACGTTTGCCACTGCGGCCCGCGTCCTCGCCGAGGACCCCATGGCTGCCGGCCCCAAGGACATTCCGGAGAAGCTCACCCTCACCCTTGCCACTCCGGACAAGGTACGTTTGCTGCCGCGGATGCCGTGCCCGGTCGGCCTGGTCACGACCTGCTTCCCCTCGCCAGCCCAGGGCGGGATCACCCGGTCTCCCGCTCCCGCGCACCGCACCGCCTCCTACGCGCGCACAGTCACTCCTGCGCACTGAACGCCCGTGCTACGAGCCTACTGCGCTTGCTAGCTGCACCCGCTGTGCATGTCCCATGCCCTTGGCGGCCCCCTGCCACCGGTAGGACCTCCTACAGCCTCCTCCCCCGCGAGTGCAATTTTTTGAGGTCATCCCCGGACGAGGCCGACCCGCGGGCCGAGTCGCCCAGCGGAGGCGGTAGAGTGGCTGGACGAGAGGGTTTGGGCAGGGAGAGACGGCGGAGGGAACAAGATGGAGACTCACGGGGGGAACTGGGTGTATTGGGTACTTGACTGGGCGAACTTTGGGCCGAGTACGTGCAGGCGCTGTACGAGAACGAGGAGGTGTACTGCACGCTCATCCCGTCGATGGTGGGCATGACTGGTGTGCTTCCGGGCCATGTTGCCCTCGTCACTGAGCTCAAGCCTGGTGTGGTCGTTGTCCAGAAGGAGTCGGACGGCCCGAAGGAGCAGTACTTTGTCCCGACCGGCTTTGCTGTCGTCAACGACGACTCGACGCTCAACATCAACGTGCCCGAGGCTGTCCCTGTTGCCGACATTGACATTGAGGCTGCCCGCGCTGCGCAGACAGAGTACACCAACGCCTTCTCCGCCGCCTCCACCGACGAGGAGCGTGCCCGCGCACAGATCGGCGCCGAGCTGTACGGCACCATGGTCCTCGCCGCCTCGCAGGACGTCTTTGCGTAGTCTGGAACCGCAAGCAGAGCTGCAGTCACAAGCAAACACACACATCATACACATCATACACACACACCGTGTCCTAGTGGTTTTAATTCCGGTAGCGCCGCCGTCAAAAGTCGATGACGCCCTCCCGGATCGCAGCCTCCTGCTTGATCTCGCGGATCGAGGCGAGGAGCGACTTGAGAAAGACGTTCTCAAAGTAGCCAAAGTACGGCTTGAGCGAGGTGAGACTGTAAGCGCGGCCCGACTGCGAAGCAACGTCCATCGGGCTCGGCTCGTCGGCGCTGGGCGCCGGCGCCTTGGCCGCCTCGGTCAGCTCGGCCGCGAGCTGCGAGACGGTGGGCACGTCAAACGGCGAAAAGTCGGCCACGCGCGCGGGGTCGAGCGGGACACACACGCGCCCGGTCTTGGGATGCACGCAGAACGGCGACTTGAGCAGATGGTTGAGGCCCTTGGAGACGTGGATGTCCAGCCGCGGGTAGCAGAACTGTAGCATGATCTCGGTGAGATCGGCGCTGCGGTAGCTGTTCTGCGCGTACATGTCCTTGATGCCCTCCCACACCCCGAGCGCGTTGTCACCGTCCTGCTGGATGAGCGCGTTGCGGATGCCGGCCCGTGCCGACTCGTCCGAGATGAGCGGGAGGATCTTGTCCCACCGCTCTGCGCAGCCAAACATGCCCTGCTCCTCCAGCACCAGCTCCTCAAAGTACTCTTCGACCACCGCCGCCGCCCGCTCCACCGATGGATGCATCGGCGTGGTGACAAAGACCTTGCGGCCAGAGTCCTCCGAGCCGCGGATGAGGTTGAGGTACTCGGCAACCGCAGACCGCCCGTTCTGCGACAACGCACGCGCCCGCGGATCGCACACCCAGCAATGGATCCCGCGCCGCCCAGAGTACACCCACAGCAGGTGCTCAAAGCCAAAGTCCTCGCGGAGCGCAGTGTCCAGCACCCGGATGGCAATCGTCATAAACGGCCAGCACTTGGTGCAGATGTCCGCTCCCGAGCAGCACGTCCGCACCTCGTCGTAGTCGGTCATATCGATATCAAACACAAGCTCCTTCTCCAGCGGCTTGAACGCGCCCGCAGGAATCGTCTTGTGGTCCTTGGGCGGTGCGTTGTACACCGCCCCAATGTCGATCTTGAACGGCCGCTTCTTGCGGATCTCCGCCTCGAGCTCCGCCGCAGACGCAAACGACTGGTACCGGATGTACACGTCATCCTCGAGCGTGAACGAGAACTCGCGCCGCGAGACGTATGAGCCCTGCAGGCCCATCCCATCGCCACGCCCGCCCGCCGCAGCCTCACCCACTCCGGCCGCGCCGAGCCCCGTCGCCGCAGCCACAGACGTGCCCGAGACATCGCCGTACGAGAGCCACTCGAAAAAGGGGGCAAAGGGGAAGAGACGCGAGTAGTAGAACCGCAACAGCTCCGGGAACTCATCCGAGAGTTCCGTCGGCGCCACATTGACTTGCGACGCTTCGCCCGCGACAACCTCATCCACACGCCGCTTCGTTCCTGTCGCCAGACCCGCCATACATCAGTACTCACCGTCCGTGAGTTGCCCCGCCGAGTTGATTCTACACTCGCCGCCCGACCCCCCAACCCCCCCCCCCCCCCCAACCCCACCACCACCACCACTATTCATGCCCACCACACCCTCATCTTCCCGCTCTACACATGTGCATTCAACATACCACGCGACTCGTCCTTCTCCGGGGACATGGGAGACGGAGACGAAGTGGCGTTGGCCGGAGGCGTGTCGCTCATGGCTCGAATGGTCGACGAGTGTTGCCCGATGCAGCCCCCCCCCCCATCCCTGAACCATGCCCACCGACACACACACACACACACGCACACACACACACACACACATATACACACACACACATATATACACATACAATCGCAATCACAATCACAATCACAATCACAATCACAATCACAATCACAATCACAATCACAAACCCCACACATATCAACCACAATGACCAACCCCCCCCCCCTCCCCCCCCCCCCCACGCCCCGCCCGTCCCCCGTCCCGCGCAAACTGCCCTGGGACATTCACTCGCCACCTTCCCGCACCGTCCAACCTCTCACACTCACACTCACACTCACACTCCACACTCCACTCACCCCCAACACACACGCATAATGGCACAGGACAGACCCAAGCTCACCGTGGACATCATCCGCAAACTCCCCAAGGTACACCCTCCTCCCCTTCCCCCTTCCCCGCGCCCCCAGGCCCCCCCGTCTCCCTCCTCTGCTCACTCCCTCTACTCACACACACACACACACGCACACACGCACACGCACCACGTACACAGGTCGACCTCCATCGCCACCTCGACGGTTCGGTCCGTGTGGAGACGGTGGTAGAGCTGGCCGAAGAGCAGGGTGTCTGCCTCCCGACCAACGATCTCGAGGAGTTGCGGGCGCTCATCGAGGTCGACAACGACTGCGAGAGCCTCGTCGAGTACCTCCGCGGCTTTACCATTGTCAACTCTGTGGCGCAAAAGCCGTACGCGCTCACGCGCATGTTCTTCGAGGCGTGTGAGGACGCCGTGGCCGACGGCCTCCGCTACGTCGAGATCCGCTTTGCGCCCATCCTCCACGTCAACGAGCTCATGTCGCTGACCCAGGTGATGGAGGCCGTGTGCGAGGGCAAGGCCATGGCCGAGTACCACCTACCCATCACTGCCCGCATCATCCTCTGCGGCATGCGCCACATGCCGCCCGAGACCACCATGTCGGTGGCAGAGCTTGCCTGGCGCTACCGCAACCGCGGCGTTGTCGCCTTTGACCTCGCCGGTCCCGAGTCTGGCTTTGCCTCGTCCAAGCACAAGGCCGCCTTTGAGCTCGTTCGCAAGCAAATGCTCAAGATGACCGTCCACTCGGGCGAGGCCGCCGGCGCCGAGTCCATCCTCGACGCCATCCGCTACTGCGGCGCCCACCGCATCGGCCACGGCACCACCCTCGGCGACTCGCCCGAGCTCCTGGCCTACGTCGTCAATCGCGGCATCCCGCTCGAGGTCTGCCCCACCTCCAACCTCCAGACCAAGGCCGTCTCGGCGCTTGCCGACCATCCACTCAAGTCCTACCTCGAGGCCAACGTCTGCGTCACCATCAACACCGACAACCCACGCATCTCGGGTGTCACTCTCTCCGACGAGCTCATGGTCTGCCACACCGAGCTTGGCATGGACCTCGCCCAGATCGTCCGCATCATCGACAACGGCTTCTCCGCCACCTTTCTCGAGCGTGGAACCAAGAAGCGCATGCGCGCAGAGGCCCTCTACCAGACCGTCTCCATCCTCCGCTCCGAGGGCTTTGACGTCTCGCCCATCGTCAACGACCCGCACTACTACTCGGCCGCCGTCAACTTTCACAAGTCGCTCCAGGACCCGTACTGGGGCACCGCTTCCCAACCGGCCATCTCGCGCGACCTCGTCGCCGCTCTCCCCAAAATCGACGCCCACCGCCGCGTCGCCGGCTCGGCCTCGCTCGACGTTGTCTGGAAGCACTTTGCCGACGCCGTCACCGACGACTCCTGCCCCGTCACCGCCGCCGCCGTCCTCGGCCTCGACCCGCCACAGGACGCCCCGGCCACCTGGCTCCCCGACCGCGCCGTCTTTGACGCCCTCGTCGAGTCGTCCGACACACACACCCCGGGCTCGACCTCGGTCGCCAAGCGCGTCTTCAACCTTGCGCTGCAGACCCGCGACGCCATCGCAGACTCGGTCGCGGACATCTTTGCTTCCGCCGCCGCAGACAACTACCTCTACATCGAGCTGGTCCTCGAGCCCTCGTTCCACACCGGCCGCGGCCTGACCATGGCACACATTGTCGACGCCACCCTCGATGCCATTGCATCCGCCTCCGAGTCCACCGGCGTCCTCGCCGGTCTAGTCCTCGCCGTCTCAGTCTCGCCAGCCACCCTCTGCGACCCGCTTGTCTTCCGCGAGATTGCTGAGCTCGCCGTCGCTCGCAAGGGCCCTGTCTCTGGCGTCGGCGCTTTGGCTCCATCGACCTCGCCCCTGAAGACTACCGCTACTACCAGGCCACCTTTGACTTTCTCAAGGACGCTACCATGCCGGTCGTCATCTCCGCCGGTTCGCAGTCGCCCGAGACCGTCCTCGCTGCGCTCTCTGACGGCGGCGCCGACCGCATCTCCGGCGGCTTCCAGATTCACAAGGAGCCGCAGCTGTTCAACTACATCGCCGACCTCGGCATCCCGCTCGAGCTCGGCATCACCGACAAGCTCAAGCTCTACACCGCAGACACCGACTTGTTCACCCCGTCGCCGGTCAAGCTCTTCCTCGACAACGAGATCTCCGTCGCGCTCTGCTCCTTCCGCGCCACCATGTACACCACCAAGCTCGTGGACTCGATCGCTGACCTTGTCGTCCGCGCAGACATCAACATCGCGTACCTGCTCAAGCTCCTTGCCGGCGGCATCGATGCCATCTTTGCCCCGTACGACCTGAAGTGCAAGCTCCGCTCGCACTTCTTTGACGCTGCCACACGTATCGCCCACGAGCATGGCTTTGTCTACATCCACTTTATGCACTACATGCAGGTTCCGGCCGGCCACGCTGACCGCTACCAGTACGGCGCGTTCGAGGCAAACGAGCCAACCATCGACGACGACATGTTCGTCAACTGGTCGCTCGCCGCCCGCATGGCGCGCGAGTCCGAGCCGGCCGTCCTCGCCGCACTCGCTGACCCGTGCAAGGAAAGCTCGTCCGATGCCTAATCGCGCCCTGCACGGCCTCTCACTCGTCAGAATCCGAGTCCGAGTCGTCAATGACCACGCGCCGCTGCATCCGCGCTACCACTGGCACGCCTGCACCCTCGATCTCCATCGGCGCCAGCCCAGCGCCGGCCAAACCCGGCGCCAGCGGCGTCCGCTGCGAGAGGATTGAAAAGCCGCTCGCCGCAACGCCCGACTCGTCGTCCGACTCGGACTCGGACTCGGAGAGCACCCGCGTACGCTTCCGCCGCGCCTCGCGCGCCTCGGCTGCCCGCTTCTGCCGCCGCTCCTCGCGCCGCTTGCGGAGGAGCTCGCGCGACCGCTGCGCAGCACGCGCCAGCGCCGCCTTGGCTGCCTCGTCGTCCGACGACCCGGACGAGTCGCTCTCCGAGTCGGACGTGCTCGACTCTGAGCCCGAGCCAGAGTCCGAGCCCGACTGTGACCCGTCTTCCGATCCGATCTCCGAGTACGACCCGTCGTCGTCGCCGTCGTCGCCGTCGTCGACCTCGTCGTCGGCGGCAATAAACGCCAGATCCTCGGCCGTCCAGATCTCGTCCTCCTCCTCGTCGTCACCGCGCTTGCGCGACGCCGCGTACGACGCTGCCAACGCCGCCAGCTCAGCCTCGTCCGTCGCCTCGATCGCCGCCGCCAGCAGCGCTCCGGCCTCGAGCTTGTTGAGCGTAGCCAGCAGCTTGCGGAGCTTGCGCCGGAGCCAGTACGGCACCCGCCAGAACGTCGCCAGTTGTGCCTTGGCCTGCCCGACCGCGTCAAGCTTGTCCACATCCTCCGGCAACGCGACCGGTGCCTCAAGCCCCAGCGCCTGCATGACCGCAGCCAGCTCGCGCGACTCGAGGTAGAACCACTCCGCCATCGACCGCGGCTTGATCGGCCACCCGAACGCCTTGCGCATCGGTCTCACCGCAGGCGTGTCGCTTGCCACGTACAGCGCAAGCTGTGCCCGGACAAAGCAGAGGCCCATGGCGTAGCCCGGCGAGGCCACCAGAGCCCGCATCGCGCCAGCCAGTGCAGCCTTGCGCGTGGCCTCGTCCGCGTCGTCTGCCACTGCGCTCCCGAGCTCCGCGGCACTCCACCGCTTGACCCCGTCAGGCGCGTCGGCCGGTGGGGGCAGCGTCGCAGCGTCGCCCTCGGCCTCGGCGTCCGAGTCCGACTCGGACGATCGACCGACAGTGTCGTCGAGCGCCTGCGACCGCCGCCGCTTGCGCGACCGCCGAGTCGACGCGCGCCGCGAGCCGGAACCCTCGCCGCCGGCAGCCACCTCGGCCGCTGCCGCCACCGCCGCGTGTAGGCTCTGTGCCTTGCGCAGCGCAAAGCCTGCCATGTCCAGCCGCGACTCCAGCGTGTCCGGATCCATGCTCGCCGGCACTGCCCACAGCGGCACGTCTTCCGAGACCGGTGGGTGCAGGCCGAGGAGGCCGAGAACCTGCTGGACTCGAGAGTGAGTGAGCGCAGCGACCTCGCTCGCCTTTTGCGGCTCGAGCGCATCGCGAGCGAGCGCCCCACCGCGCCGCACAGTCGCCTCGCGCACCTCGTTGACCTCCTGCAGCAGCGCAATAATCTCGCGAACGTGCGCCGAGTCGCCACTCGCCACAAGCTCCGCCGCCAGAACGTCGAGCCCGGCGCTGAGCTCCGTCGGCAGGCTGGCATCAACCTCAAACGGCGTGTACGCCACCTGAGGCGGCGCACGCCGCTGGTCCCACACTCCAGCACCCGAGTCAGAGCCCGAGCCCGAGCCCGAGTCCATGGCCTGGACGCCGTCGTCGTCGTCGTCCGACTCGCTACCCGAGCTGCCCGCGCGACCGCCGCGCCGCCGACGCGACCGGCCACTCCCGCGCGGCTTGCTCAGCAAGCCCTTGTACCCGAGCTTGGCAGCGCGCGCCTTGATGGCGGTTGGAGACCGGCCCGGGAGCTTGTCAACCAGCCGCGCGAGCAGCGCTTCGGGATCGTGTGGCGCCGGCGACGCCGAGCCGCTGTGCGACGTGCTGTCGTTGCCGGCCCGGCGGCGGGCGAGCCTGTCCGCCGCTGCAGCGCGCGCGTCGACCGCCGTGTTGCACTCGTCCTCGAGCACCTTGAGCTCAGCCTCGGTCCACGTCCCGCCGCGGGCCGCATTGGCCGCGTGCCACCCGGGCGGCGGCGTCATCTTGTGGTGCTGGATGAGCCAGGCGTCCGAGCCGATTTCGTGAATGTCGCGGATGCGCGAGGTCCGCACATTGATGAGCGCGTCGATGTAGAGCATCGGGTCGTGGCGGACGCGCTTGGTGAAGCTCGCCATGATAAACTTGGTAAACTTGACCGTTTCCTTGTGGAGGACAGGCTCCTTGACCCGCCACGCCTGGTCGTGGACCATGGCGTTGAGGAGGGCAAGGATGGAGACCTTGAAGAATGCGCCCTCCATCTGCGCCGAGACTGCGATGCGGTGGAACATGCGGAGGACGTGGTAGTTGGTCTCGTAGCTGTTGGCCTCGTACGCAGAGAGGACCGCGACATACGCGTCGATGACCTTAGGCGAGCGCGCAAAGTTGCGCACAAACTCGGCAAAGTCAAACTTGTGCTCGTGGTGAGCGGCCTCGGCCTCAGCCTCGGCCTCGGCCGCTTCTTGAGCGGCAGTCGCTGCTGCCGCTGCTGCTGCCGCCGCCGCCCCGGCGGTCTCGGCCCCGGCCGCTGCCGCCGACTCGGCCGCCACCGCAGCCTCGGCCGCAGCCTTGTCCTTGGCCTTCCGCTTGCGACGGCCCTTGCGGTAGACGTGCTCCTTGTTGGCGGTAAATGCTGCTGTGGTCTTGAGGAACGCGTGGATGGCGTGAATGGCGTCGCGGAGAAAGTCGAGCGAGAACCGCCGCGGCGTCCATTTGACGACCGCGTTGACCAGCGCCGACTGCAGATCGTTGTGGTAGAGAATGAGGGCGACGACCGGGTCGGCGGCGGCGGTGTTCTGGGCGTCGCCGGCAGTGATCATCAGCCGCAGCAAGTCGAGCTGGCTCGCCATGTGCCGGAGCGCCGCCTGCTGGCCGGCCGGGTACTTGTCGGTGGCAAAGGTTGAGATCCACTTGATGGTGAAGAGGACCGGCTCGGTGTGGGTCGTCACCGCCAGCGGTGCAATGGTGAACGTGGGCTTTCCACACTCGTCCGAGACAAACAGGTGCGGAAAGGCGGCAAACGAGACGGCGTACAGCTGGCTCACAAAGCTGGCAAGGAAAAAGTAGTTGCACTTGTCGCGCGCCGAGTGCGGGTCGTAAAGCACATCGGCGGCGGCAAAGACGCTCGTCACCACCTTCATCAGCTTCTCGTAGCCGCCGGCAAGAAAGGCCGAGCCGAGCGAGTAGAGCGCCGCAAGGAGCCGCGGCTTGGAGCCGACAATGAGTGGAAAGGCCGATGGAAGCGACTTGGGCGGCTTGCGCGCCCGCTTGCCACTATCGTGGCGCGAGCCCGTCGCGCTCAGCTCCGTCACCGGCTTGTTCCACGAAAAGTGCTGCCCGTTGGCAGCCTGATACCGAAAGACGCCACCAAACCGCGAGTGCCGTGACGGCGCGTGTGCGTTGCGCATCTTGCGCGCCGCGGCCTCGAGCCGCGCTGTCCGCGCTAGCGCAGACATGTTGGCCGCAAGCGGTGCCGAGACGCCTTTGCCCTGCCGCGGCCCCTCAACCATCAGGTCCTGGATGCCGAGTGGGTCGCTGCTGGCAGTCTCGGCACCGCCGCCGCCTTTGGCTTGGCTTTGCGGTGGTGACCGCGGTGCGGCTCCCGCGCCGTCCTTGTGGGCCTGGACGAGCTGCCGCGGGTCGCGCCCGCGGAACAAGTTGGCAAAGATCTCCAGACACGTCATCGCCCACGGCTCGTTGTCCGGCGACGCAATGTCGGCGACAAGTGCGAGGAACAGGTCCGGCACGTCGTACGAGAACAGGGCGTCGACAAAGTCATCGTGGAGGTGGACCCGGTGAGCGCCGGCAGAGCCGGCCTGGGGCCGCGGGTCCGGCACAATCAGCAAGTTGCGAAGGAGCGCGAGGACGAGGCCAATGAGGTCGTTGTCTTTCTGCGACCGGCCCTCACCGCCGTTGGCCACATCATGCGAGAGCGGCTCCAGGAGGAGCGAGAGTAGCGACGGGAGCACGCCCGGTTTGAGAAACGCCTCCTTGTACGCTTGCAGGCACTCGGTGTACGCCAGTGTGTTCTTGAAAAGCTTCTCCTTCTCCTCGATCCCGGGCTCTTCCTCCACAGGCATCGTGAGCATGGTAATGAGCTTGAGCACTGCCATGGCCAGCGCCCCTTCGTTGGCGTAGTTCACCAGTAGCGGGAGCAGGTCACGCTGCATGACAGACCACTGCCCAAGCGCAAGGTGAAACTCCTTTGTCCTCGGGTTATCCCGCCGCAGGTACCGCACCAGGTCGCGGACAACATCTGTGTGGGAAAGGGGGAGAAGGGGGGGGGTGGGGGTGGGGTGGGGGTGGGGGAGAGTGCAGGCAGTGGCGGTGTTCCGTCTGGTGGCACCTATCCTCTCTGTCTTTTGTTGCTGTGTGTGGTCGGAGAGAGCACAGCGCGGTCACATCGATGGCCGGCGGCAAAGGAGATGGCCGCACGACTCGACTCACTTGGCTCTCTCCTCACACCGCACAGTGCCTCCGCAGGCAGCGGCCCCGATGCATCAGCAGGCAGAGGTGCCGATGGTGCGGGCAAAGTGCCGATCATGACCG